GCCGCTGTGTTGGATCCATCTGTTGCCAGAGAGACTCTTAGCTATGCTTGCGGCTCAGTGAGGCACAGCGGCGCTTTGAGCAGCGAAGACCTCCTTTCTGTCTCTTTTCAACCCGATAAAATACAGTTTACAACATTGACATGTCACAAAACATTTTGATGGCTTGTTCGGTGGTAGGTTGAAAAAGTGGCATCGCTGGTGAATGTGACGGTATTGCTGCACTGGTTGGGGAAATGTGCTCCACACTAAGATGGGATTTCAATGGATTTATTGTTTCATATAAAATCTCATGAATATGGAGCTGTATAGGTTGTGTGGTGCCAACAAGAAGCTTCTAGGACATCATAATGGTAGCAGTTGTATACATCAAAAGGCAGCTTTCCAATGTGGGAACTCTGCACAGATGCAAGGTGAGGTGAACAAGAACGGCTCCATAGTCGACCCGTTAAGCCTTTCTGTTGTGTAAGATCCAATAGCTCTGACTGCAACGTCAAATCTAACTGTGCCAAAGTGACAAATATTTACTGGCTGCAACTTCAGACGACTGCACTATGAAGCAGGTTTAATATACACCGGCTTTGTGCTAGCTGGCTTAACAAAATCTAGCAGGACTGCCTACTTCAGCCCAGAGGAAGAGGTTCCTAAAACGGAGAGATTTAACAATTATTTTAAAATGTGTTACGGTAAAAAGCAGTTATTTTGTAAATCATGCAAGAAAAGAATGCCGGTAGAAAACAGTTAATGGTGTAAATCCATCCATCCATTATCTATACACCACTTAATCCTCACTAGGGTCATGGGGGGCTGGAGTCTATCCCAGCTGACTTAGGGTGAAGGCAGGGGACACCCTGGACAGGTCACCAGTCTGTCACAGGGCTACACTTAGAGACAGACAACCAAGCACACTCACATTCACACCTACGGACAATTTAGAGTCACCAATTAACCTCTTCGTGTTTTTGGACTGTGTGGGAGGAAGCTGGAGAACCCGGAGAGAACCCACGCTGCACGGGGAGAACATGGAGACTCCTAATGGTGTAAATGAATACATTTATTTTACTAAGTACATTTAGATCTGAAACTGTTCCATAATGAGAGATATGTGGAAACAGACTAATCTATCTTCTAGTCTGTATTATTAAAGCTGCAGTACCAGCAGTGTAAAACTGACTTGGCAGTAAATTAGGACCAAACATAAACATTTTTGTGCCTTTTCTGCAGCACTAACTACAGATATAAAGTCGTCCCTCACCTGAGCATCTGTATCACTCATAGAGAATTTCATCAGAATTGCTGAAAGGGAGGCACCACTGCTGATTTATATCCCAAACTCTGAACATAACCTCCTCCAGAGCCGGTTAGCCGTGCAGCATCTGCTACCATGGTGATCTAGCCAGTTTCAAACAGAGCCACCTCGAAAACTTTGACTTTAGGCTCAACATACCTCACTAACCCGCTAATCTCACAAAGTTCTATAAGCAGCCCAGAATCAAAACAATAAAGGGTTTGTTATGTTATTGCAATGTAGTTTAACGCCAATTTTACTTTTCCAAAATAATCTCGTATTCAATGTCCTATATTTAAAGCAGTGAGTATTTTATGATAATGTTTTAATTATTCAGGTGTTTTCTTTAATTCTAGCCAAAAACTATGATTCTGTTAAGTTCACATAAGAAGTTATGAAGTGGTCATCAGATGTCTAAAAAAAACAGGAGTAGATACTGAAAGCCCTAAAACAGCTGCTGCAGAAAAAGGTAAAGGACACAATGTTCTGTTTAACCTCTTAACATCCATCCCACTTGTTTCACTGAAAAAGAGGAAGCATGGAAGCATTATGGTAAAAAAATACTGTGCTGCACACAGTGATTCAACAAATATGTGTCCCTGTATACGACAGAGGAAGAAACTACCATTTTCCTGTGTATGCACTCTTATTACAAAGTGTCTCTTATAATGGTTTACACCATTTGAATCATGAGGCTTTGTGGTTTTTTAATGATGTATAGTTTGTCAGATTAGATTCAGAATGAGATGAAGATCAATCTATTGAATCCACGTGATATATTAAGGATGCATGATAATATCCTCATAATTACCTTTATCAACGAATAAAGGCTTTAAAGTTAAATCAAAGGATCCTCCCAAAAAGGGAGATAACGCCTGTCAGGCTAAAAGTTTTACAGATTTGTTTGAATATTTTACATAATAATAAATATGGCGTGTTTTACATCCAAGTTGAGTTTCAGTTCGATTGCATTTACATAGTAACAATTTACAACATAAGTGATCTCAAGGCAAATTATAATATATTATATTACAGAGAGAAATCCAACAACTTCAACAGTTTCCTTTGAGAAAGCATGTGGTGATAGTGGGAAGAAAAGAAACGTTTGACAGAACCAGGCTCAGGAAGAGCCGCCATCTGCCTCGACCAGCTGGGGTCATTCTCTTACTTTACCCAGTAAATGTGCACATTTGAAAATCATTGTATTTATGTCTGCTCCTGTTAGTGTTCTATCATGATAAAAGCTGGAACAATAAAATGTTAATTCCACTACTGTAGTCACCTGAAATAAGTGCATACATCAGTATCAGCAATCAGCTAAAATGAGTTTGAACATATCAGATATCAGTCAAAATCCCGAATCATGCCTTTCTAATTCCCAGTGACAGTGTGGAGAGCACATGCATGATAAACACTAAAGACAGTTAAGCCACATCAAGAGCACAAATTAATAATTAGTGTGCGTTGTCGGATGGACTTTGGTACTTTTTCGTGTCACATATTAACAGGCCAGCATTTTGCAGGTCATAAGTCACAATGCTGACCTGATAAGGGCGCTACAGGAAAAGTCTGGCTATTATTAAAGGGAGCAGGGTCCATCCTCTGGGGACCATGAATGAAGCTCTGTATCCAAATTCATTGCAATCCGTACAATAGCTGTTAAGATATACCAACAGAGACATGCCTTTATAAGTCAAGTAACATGTTCTTATTATTGCAGCACTTGTTACCTCAGAAAAAAAACAGGGTGAAGAAAGGAGGGAACAGAGTGAAAACACATCCATCATTAGATCCCAATAAATGCAGCTCAGAGGAGACGGAGGGGGGGGGATGTTTTTCTAGCAGCAAGTGTTGGTATTAAAATCTGGCAGACATGAATGCAGCACAGTGAGATATTCGCAGAGCACAGAGCACAGCTAGTGCTGCTTCCCACTGCCACAGTGATTGCGTTGAGGTTCTTGGAGAGCTCTGGGGAATCTGGGAAGCCGCCATCAAACCAGAACTGTGTCAGAGGAGAGCTGGAGTAATAAATTGTTAAGATTATTACAGGGAGTTCCTCCAGAGTGCACATAACAGCTTCGGTTTAGCGGCCTTCGTGGGGAAGACGAGGTGAGGGGGTTGGACACAGCCCACTTTACATGCAGGTCTGTCTTTCATCCTATATGTCAACCTGAAAAAGTGTGTGTTTCTGAGTGTGTAATGACATCAGTGTGTGTTTGAGAGCCACTGCACATGGAGCTATAACCGGATTTGACAAGACCTTCCCTGTATGCAGAGTGCAAGACTCTGCATCTTTCATGACTCTCATGATGAATTTCCTTTTCAAGGTTGCACTTTATGGTAATACAGTACATATAGTAGAGTAATGCATTGTTGCTTCAAGAAAATGGTGGCCTCGCATTGTGTCAAGTAGAGGATTTGCTGCTTCTCTCTGAGTGTAGTTTGAGCTTTGAACAGCTGATCAGACAGAGCAGGACAGTCAGGAGAGTAATTTTGGACTTTGAGACGGAAATGTTGCTGACAGTTTATCGAAGTGATTAATCAGCAGTAAGGAGAATAATGGTTGGTAAAGTGACAATGAGGCAATGAAGGTCAAACTCCAGCTATTTTACACATCAACGCCTATTTACAGGTCCTGAAGAGCACTATGGTGAAAGTGGAAAATACTGAATAAACCTTTTTTTTTCCACGTGAAATCTGACCCAGTGTTTGGTCTGGAGTGCAAGTTGGAAGTTAGAAATGCTGAGTTTGTCAGACATCTGTAGTCGTTCCTCATCTCAAGGTACATTACCCGCTGCTAGCATTATATCATAGACTATACACAAACAGTATATACGTAATAGTCTATGCATTGTACATAATCAAGTCGTGGTGTAGGTAGTGTGGGCAGCGGGTTTTGGTGAATGTGTGGAATTAAAAACATGTCTACTTCTTCTGAGCTCATTTTAAGTAGTTTTTCAAGTGTCCACTGTGAGTCTGACAGTGTTACAGACGTATAGACTCTGAACACTGTGCAATTTTAGTTGCAGAAAGTATACCATGAAAAAACACGTGCTAAATTCTGGAGATGGACTTTAAAGTTCCTCTTTAGTCATTGATTTAACCACTAAAAACTCATCTTTGTGCACCAAACCTACATATTTAGTTGTTGTTTTTTTCATGAAAAGAATTCCTTCCTGCCTTCAAATCACCTAGATGTAATGCTACACCATTGACACCCTTCAGAATGAACAAATCTACGTAGTCCCTGCCTCTCTCTTCACTCACCACTCTGCTCGAGCACACCAGCTCACTAATACCTCAAACTACTGTATGCTACACAATGGCATGTTGTGATATTGGACTCATTCAGCCACACATGCTGGAACCAGAAACCGATTCTGAAGTAGACCAATGGTACAGAAGGTCCCTCCCTGTAAGCTAACGGGATTGGTTCCTTTGATTTGTGACATATTAAACCCTGGAAGTCCAGACCCTTGTTTTTGTCATCAGAACACTGTAGTTTCAGAGTGGATATGCTCAACCATGGCACTGACTGCTTATTTCACTCATGATACAGCATGTCTTCTAGCATATAAAAACACCATATGGACATCTTCACAAGGTTAAACTAAAACTTGATTTTCACTAGAGAGACTGTTTAGCAGCTGCTGGCATCCCACACAACAGCCTCTCCATTCAAACACTCATTTAGATTCTCCACAAGTCCACTCACCAGGTCCTTGGACGTGCCCAGTCTCTTCAGCCCATCCAGGGGCAGGAGGTCAGCCGAGTCCTTGTGTGTGAACTGGGTAGCCTGCTTCAGACGCCTCTGCTGGTGCAGGATGGCTTTATCCCGGATGGCTAGTTCACCTTTCTTCGCCTCACTCATGGTCTCGGACTGTAAAACAGTCTCTTCTGATGCTGTGCACAGAAGCACGGAGACTGTCGCCTCACAGCAGCAGCAGCACTGGGAGACAGAGTGGACGTCCGTGTGCAGAAGGAATAGAAAACCTCCAAAAACAGGCTCTTTAGCTCCTTTACAAGGTCCTCAGCAACGGAATAAACCTGCAAATGTTGCCTCTTCCTGCCTGTTCTGTCCTCTCTGAAATGCTGCTGTCCTTCCCTCTGGGCTTGTTCTGCGCTCTCTCTCTCTCTCTCTCTCTCTGTAGTCCTTGGCATGTATTTGTCTCAGCAGCTTTAGGAGCTATTGTCCTGTCCAGGATGCTGCTCTTATGTAGACATGCATCTTCCTCGCAATGTCAAGATCTGCTCAGTGTGTTACAGAGGCTGTGGGGAAGGTGTGACTGAGCTGAGTGAGTGTGTTTCCTCCCCTCCCCTCAGTGGCGTCTGTCCTTGGATCTCTCTCTCTCTCTCTCTCGCTCTCTCTCTCTCTCTTTCTCTGTTACATCTCTGCTTTCAGTTGTGTTTTCTCTCTCTCTTCTCTTTTCGTCACACACTCGACACAGAAACATGCTCACCTCTGAATACCGAGCACTGTTCACTCAGCACAAAAGAAAGAGTCTTTATTCTGCGTATCAAACCTCAGCACTCCACTGTTAATCTGCTAGCTGCAACATCACACAAAATCAGACATATTCTCTGCATTTTATAGTCCTAAAAGTGACACAACGGCCTGCTTCTAAGCCCGACACTGTTGCCAATATTAGTCCCTTGAGCAGTGATTAGCCTGGCAGCCCTGCTGTGGAGGTGTGAGGGAGATCACTGTGATCTGACCCCACACAGGGGATCAATCTGGACCACTGATGGCAGCAATTGATTTCCTCTGCTCCCCTGTGACAGCCACCGTGAATTAAAGAATCCAATTCCTTCCATCCACATCACCAAAAGCTATAAATACCCCATCCATCTGTGTTCATGACCTCCAGACGGTGACACATTTTTATAGCAGTGATGAGTCGACCCACAGGTGTGGACGGTATCATGACATACAATAAAGTGAGCCCATCTGTCACAGCACTCAGTGGGTGGATTCTTGCACAAGATGCATGTTGCCCTCAAAAGAAGGGGCGCTTTTTTAAAATGCACAATATTTATCAGAAACAGGGAGACCTTGTGAAGGTGAAGTGGAAAATACTGAGTGCCTGCTGAGATGTTTGCTGTTTGAAATGCACGTGCTGCCCCCTGCTGGTCGGCTCATCTGTGTGTTTTTTCTTGGATTTTTCAGCTTCGTCTGCATCTGTATTCAAACTCCGTCAAACGTGTTGTACGTTGAATTCAGATGACATTTTGTGTAATTTTGTGACACAGACAGCTCTGTAGATGTGAAGTCACATTTTGACATCATTAAAATCAGAGATCATCAAAATCCTGCTTTAGAGAGCAAGAGAGATTCCAAACGCAGTCTGAGTGAACCAGAAAAAGATGGAAAAACTTTTTACTTTGGAAGTTTT